AATGAAACCAGCAGTACTCTGACGCCAGCCTCTCTAAAGAACGCCGCTAATGTTTCCTTCGTCAAAAACAGTTTTGAGGAAAAACACATAATAACTCACCTGCCAATTGAAATTACATTAGTGGCAGCTTCTTTCGTCCCCTTATTCAGCCGAATATTCATCAAAACTTTTTCGATTTCTCCAGTGAGGACCCAGTGAAGCTTGGCCCTCGGGTCAGTAACTACTTGTCGTATCATGTCCCGAATAACTGCTGCATCATGGCCTTTAAGAGCATAACTTGCAATTACAGCTTTGTCAGTATTTGAAAGGGGTAATTTGGCCGGGCTGACATCGTGATTTATGTGTCTTGTACAGTAAACCGCAGTGATCTTACCATCACGTGAGTAGATTTCCTAAATATTGAACGCACTTACTAATGTTTCACTTATTGAGAAACACACGATTACCTTCAGAAATGAAGTGCAGTAATGGACCATCGTCATCGTTCCTGATGTTTTCAATTCCGATATACCACGAACATGATTACCTACAGTTCTAAAAAACCGCATGTGAAAGGAAGACTAGCATCCGGAAGATTTTTGAAGCCATTTCGATTTTCCTCCAGTCACGAGTTTACCATAGTAGCACCCTAGTCTGCAGTGACCATGGAGCATCCAGATCTCTCAGTGAAGACTTTACCCCAGGTGACGATCGCATATCGGCAGGCATCTTTCCCTCTTAACACCCCTTGCCGGCTCCCGCTCAGCCCAACAAAGTCTTTCCCCGAGACCTAGGCTATATCGCGATCAGTGGGCCAGTACGATCCCTTCACCTCCCTTCCGTATTTCACAAAAGAATTTGATAAGGCCGCTTTCATACTTCAGCGTACCGGTCACTTGCAAACAATGGATATCGATAGCGAACGCCACCGCATGCCAGCGACAATGAAAGTATAGATATCGACCTAGCGAACGTGAGCGCATGTCACCGTTTTCGGGGCAATTTGATCTTAGGAAAACGGTTCTCGAAACGCTGCTGTACGCTGGTATACATTAGATCGCTTTTTATACTTTACTCGCCGTGTCGCTCGAAACGCTGCTGTACGCCGGCTTACGCTCGCGTTTGCTATATCGATATCCATACATTCCCATTCGCTGGTAAACGCTGGCGTTTGCTGTGTCAGTATCTATACATCCACATTCCCATTCGCTGGTAAACGCTGGCGTTTGCTGTGTCAGTATCCATACTTTCTTAGTCGCTATCGCTGGCGAACACTTGAAACGCTGCCGTGCTCTGGTGTGCGCTGATGCAAGTGTAAACGCAACCTTATGAAAATCTGCAAGTGATTAGTGGCAACGGCCGGTACGTTGTTCTATTGACAAAAGGTCACACAATCGAACCTTTTCAGAAGGCGTATCTTGGCTTTCTCCGAAAATTTGAGCATGACTTTGGAATGTGATTATATTTGGATATCCTCTGGATTACTGTAAGCAAAAGAAACAGGAAAAGCGCCATACCTGCTACATCGGTAGTATTTGATACCAGATTTCTTAGACCGTGATCCTGCGTAATTCAGTTGCCAAACAGTAAAATGTGTCTTTGCGACAGATTCCTTCCATACCTGTAAAAATATTATTGGCCAGTTCCTCGAGCTCGCTCCACATTGAATGCCAAGCGCATCGAATCCAGTATACGCTTTCCACACTGGATCTTCCCTTAGTAATCAAGCGTACTGGTTCTGTCAAAAATGTGCCGTTGTGGCTCACCTTTATTAGACTTTACAGCTGAACAACAGTAGCGGTGATAAGCAGCAAGAACGTTTTTGGTTTAGCCAAAAATTCGTTTCCGGAGATAGTTTGATTCCCTGTATACGAATATCACATCCGTTTGACGATCGCTTCTATAGTTTAAATGCTGATGACCCCAAGGTGAATTTGTGCCGTGTCTTTGGGGCAAAAAATTCTAGTTAATCAAGGTAATGTCGCCCTGAGAGCCAAACACCCATGTAGAAAGAACTTCAGCGAAATAGCGTTTTATTATGGCTTGGCGCAGTGCTCACACGCCAACATCACAGCTAAAGCAGACTTTGACCACGAAGACTCCGCTTGGAGATCCCCTTGCGCTTGTGATATGCATTTTCCTAATGGTGAGCAGCATTCGATTCTATTCGATGAACCTACGTCTCTTTACATCTCTTTACAAAGTTCCATGTGGAGTTGAAAGCGTTCCCTTGTTAGCGACTCGGGAGAATAGAAAAATCAATGAATAGAGAGAAAAGAAGTCGCCAAATTTCCCAGTAACCCCAGTAGCTAGACTGGACTTGATCTACTCCCATCTAATCCTCAGATGCGATCAATCCCCGGTTGCGTTCGCGTTTACAAGCATGGAGCGCTGCTGCAATTGTAGCGCATCAACGCGCGTGAATGTTTGCGTGAAGTCGCTTGAATGTTGCCGAAGAGTTGGATCAAGCAGTACAGGGGTCTCCCGCCCAATAAAATTTCTAGCTTGATCATGAGCTATGTATTGCTGCGTTTCGAAAAAAAAACTTTCAAAAAAATGCATTTGTTGGAGTTAACCCACCTCGCACTCCTTCGCATTCTTGAATTTACGCGTTTGTATGACACAGTGTTTGTCTCCGTGAACAACACGGCAATGTTCACAAGATCTTCTTGAGTGCGAGGCAATTCTTCGCAAAGTGGGCATTTCATAAGGCGACTTTTCCTCTCGGTTATCATGCGATGTTTTTCATGCATGTGCGACCTGTAACCGGTCTCGGTTCGCGCGACATAACCACAATTTTCCACACAACACAGTAGCCTCTTCCTCTGAGCGAGCATAATCCTTTCCGCTTCTATACTGCCTTTTAAACCGTGAACATCTGGCAAATGGCATAACAGACTGAAAACGGTCCATCTCGAGGTCACAGAAGCAACAACGGTCGTCCCTTTTCGGTAACGGTGGAACTGCCGCAGACGAACTATGTGGTTGATCCATTACCTGAAAAATAAATGTCTTTTGGATTCAGAGCGCACCCCAATTCGCTGTATCACCACGTTCACACTCCGCGGTTGCGCGACTGGATTGTGCGATCGATTGCTCGACTGGATCGCAATCGAACACTTTCATAATGAAAAGTTCAAAATCTGGTCATGG